CATGGGTATTTTTCAGTTCCCTGATGGCTTCACTCTTATAGCACAGCCGATGCTGCAAAAGGTCTGCAGCTATTCGAAGCACAGCTTTCTCTTACGCACGCTTGAGCTTTTGTTTCGCGTAACTGTGTGTCAGGATCGTAATACACACTGAGCAATAATTGGAACTTCACACGGTCGTTAAATTAAAGGCTGTGCTTTACAGTCAGTTGTGGGGCCATGGTATGGCCATAGCATTCACTGTGGTCTACTACCGTGCCCTGCACCAGGCCCTATGTACCAAAACTACAACCACTACATGCCGCCTGGCTCACGCGAGATACGGTGGAGTTAGTGACATTGGGGGCATGCAAGTCCCGAAGCCAGAGCTGGGAGTATGGGATTGTTGATTGCACGGAATCTGCTTCAAAAGCACCCGGGCAAGGATGACGCCGCCGACTGCTGCATTTAGGAATGGCGTGAGCTACAGAACCATGACCGTTATTCCTCTCAGCGCACCGACATCACGAGGTGTCGTGTCCTTCCGGTCATCATCGCCCATCCTTCACCATCACATTCCAAAACCTTAAGCTTTTGCCCTGGAGCCCCGACCAGCAGCCCCAGCCCAGGAAATCCGAAGTGATTAAGGAGCTCTATGGCAAGTGGGACGAAGACGAGGACCTTCGTTGTTTGGGTCTAAATATTTCAATGACGCGGAGCTTCCGGAATCCCAACTGATTTTGAGTGATGCCGACACAAGCGTTTGCAGCGTCAGCAGCGTCGGCAACTCCAAATATTAGTCTGCCCCCGCAATTCGGTGAACGAGAAGTGTAGTCATTTTCAAATCGAGTTAGAGGGCGCTTCTATTCCTAAGCTCGATGGCTCAAGCACTTGCGATGGGGTAGCAGGTACACTTCGGTTAACGTTCCCCTAAACCCTAAACCCTAAACCCTAAACCCTAAACCCTACTAGAATCAGAACCATTGAGCTGCCTGAATTATCTTGGTTCGAGCATCCCCTGAGCACGGTGCCCTCAGAATCCTCAGAGTATCACTTTCAGGAGCCTGAGCGATCTCGGGCCCTCGGGGTTTAGGGTTTAGGGTTTAGGGTTTTAGGGTTTAGGGTTTAGGGTTTAGGGTTTCAGGGATTCTGCATCGCTCCCACTGGCCACCGAATGCTCGAAGTTTGCGAAGTGAAACTGTGATTGTGCAGGGCGATCTCCGGGTCCCCATCCCGCGGGAATCCGCAAAGAATCCCGCCGGGGGTCCCTCAAAAGTGCCCCCCCAGGGAAATCCTGCACCCACCCAGAGAATCCTGCAGTGAGTCCCCACCGAGTGTCTGGACGACGGGTGCCCCTGAAAATCCACAAAGGCTCCTGCAAAGAATGCCGCCGAGTATGCCTGGAGTACCCCAATGCTTCTCGACACACTCTCGTACGAACAATAAGGCCAAGATGGCCACAGGAGTGTAAACCCTAAACCCTAAACGCTAAACCCAAAACCCTAAACCCTAAACCACCCGAGTGCCATGAACCTGCAGGATCCGTCTGGACTTCAGAGTCTTCGCGAGGCCAAGAGGGCTCACTACGTGAAAACACGCATCTGACAGGGTTTAGGGTTTAGGGTTTAGGGTTTAAGGTTTAGGGTTACAGAAAAGCCTTCAACAAGTCCAGAGCACAAAAAAAGCATACCTGTAGGGGTGCCTTATAACTCGGCTCTGGCAAAACTGTGCAAAACACGAACGCCTTCGCCGACCTCGCCCCCCCGGTTGCGGGATTCGAGCGACGCCAGTAATCACCTTGTTCACAGCTCCGCACTTGTTTTGTAGGGTTCAGGGTTCAGGGTTTAGGGTTTAGGGTTTAGGTTGTAGGGTTCAGGGTTAGGGTTTCCATACCTTCTTGCTTCCCTGCAACTCGACAGTTATGCACATAGCAGCAGTTGCTGCTGGACACGGAATGCTGTAGCAGGATGCTACGACCGCAATCGGTCAGTCAGAAGCGCAAGAACTGTGAAATGTGTGGCGCTTTGGTCACCGGTCTTGGGGAAGTTCAAATTAACCACCAGAATCTGCCGGTAAGAGCCTAAAACAGTATACAAGCAGTTACAGGCAGGTTAGCATGCAAGCCAACGCTGTCTGGGTCGACCTGTCTCGTAGATGACGCGGTTTCGGAGTGAACACAGTGCAGCGTAGGTTGTTTGAGTCTTGGACTTGTAGAGATAATCGCGCCCGATGAGGGGGTTCCATGAGTTTGAGTATATGCGCATAGGCTTCCCTGAGGCCTGTTTTGAGGCCTGGCTTGGTTTCCCTCAGGTTGCGGCACGTCCGCTTGCCTAGTTTTTGCAAGCCCCGCGCTGCATTGTAATGCTCTTTATCGTCACTTGCCGAGGTTTCCCCAGACATGTGGTCGTGTGTACGCGAGGCCAAAATTGCGTTGTTGCCGCCTCATGTTCGAAATTCTTTACGTCCGAAAAGTCTTACGGGGCAGGCCAGATCGAAATCAAATATTGCTGCAGTGCATAGTCTTCGGTAAAAACAGAAATCGTGCTTAGACGATGATCTGTCGTACCCGCTCGTAGATGGAGTAGTGAAAAGGGAGGAAGAGAGGAAGATGGCTACTGAGGAAAAGTCGACACCTGGAATGAAGCTATTTGCCCAGGATGAGGCTGCCACAATCTTAAGCTTCTGCTGTTGAACAACTGAAACGCCCTGCAACGCACAAAGCCTTTTTAATTTTACATTTCTGGCGTGCACATCAAGGCATCAAAGCAACAGCTGTGCTTAGGGATTGGGGTTTAGGGTTTAGGGTTTAGGTTTTAGGGCAATCTCCATGTTATGTTTCTCGTCGAAGGCCAAGTGCCCGGAGCGCGCACGCGAGTTCGTGCCCAGTCCTGGGCAACGTGGCGTTTACAACGGGTTCAAGGTGTTCGGCTCCGACTGTTAGTTTTGTAGCATTGCCTCGACTCGTGGCGTTATCGGTTGTAGCATCTGTTAGACTACTTAGCTGTTTGAACATGGTTTTTTGTGGTGGACTTTCGGTGCGAGCAGTGCGTCTTTGCTGCAAAGAGGTTCCCTGGGTAAAGCAAAAGGCAAGGGGGCTTCTACGCGGTTTTTACAAAGTTTGTCACCAAGTTCCCTCGTCTACCAGCGTAGGCAGAGTAAAGCAGAGATTTAGGGCTGTTAGTATAAGGGGGAACATCCTAAGGTGTCAGAAGGGCTGTTTGCAATTGCATGGTTTCTTTGAGGCTTGATTCGGCTGCAAATAGGTTCGCGTAGCGAAGGGAATGGGAAGAACCAGCACCACGTTTTTCAGGGCGAAGCCTCTGCAGCTGGTGCCATGTGGGCTCAAGGCGGATGGGAACCCTTTCTGATGCCTGGCATTGTTCTTTCAGGATTTCGGATCTCAGCAATGCAGATCACGGGTCATCATCGACTACTTTGTTAGAACGGGCAGCATGTGGGGGCCTGTTGGGGGGTCTTGATGAACTGCCAGGCTCGACTACTTGCCTGAAGCAGCTACATAGCACCAGTGCACGTAGCTGACATGACCACAAGAGCTCATGCGCTCTGGTTCCGCGCGTGTGCACTTTGCTTCATCGACATTCTCAAACCTGACAAGAGTTGCACGAAGTAAGATCCGGAAACTGAACTGAACCATGAACTGAACCCAGGCGCACGCTATCATGTCAGGCACATTCGGACACATCTGCCAGCGAGTCTTATGCTGTGTAGTCAGGGTACTGCTCGTGAGGCGATGAGCTTCTTCAACGACACGTTTGAGGCTCTGGCCTTATTTCTTAGGAGCCTTATGGCCCCATTCCTCTATGGCTTGCCCCGGCCATTGCAAGACACACAGACACGGAATCACAAGTCACAGCTTGGGCCGTGAGTGACCAGCAACTTCGTTTGCCCTGTGTCCTGTTTTTGATCCACTGCCATGCTTACTTGTCAGCACTCGCTTGCTTGTAGCCCTAAACCCTAAACCCTAAACCCTAAACCCTAAACCCTATACCCTAAACCCCGCAAGGTGCAAGACCACCACATCGACCCAAAGGGCATTGCTTGGAGGTCGGATGTGGCACGCTACAACAATCCGAGGCTCGGGCATGGGAAGGGTTTAGGGTTTAGGGTTTAGGGTTTAGGGTTTAGGGTTTAGGGTTTAGGGTTTAGGGTTTAGGGTTTAGGGTTTAGGGTTTAGGGTTTAGGGATCAGCAGCGTCTTATGCACGGGGACGCATCAGAACCCAAGATGTGGCTGAACCGATTTCGGCTCGAGGTCTCCGTTTTATTATGATCATTATTATTATTATTATTAGTAAAATTATTATTATTATTATTATGATTATTAAAATTATTATTATTATTAAAATGATTATTATTTTTTTTACTGTAAATGCGCCATCCTGGCTGGAGGTCTCCGTTTTCGGTTTTGGCTCCGGGTTTAGAAATGATAGAAATTCCAAAGCTTAAAGGCTGTTGGGAACAGACCCGCTTCTGTTTTTGTTGCCCATGCACCATCTAGAAATTCACATGGTGTTAGCAAAAAACCAAACAGGCCTGGCCACGCAGGTGAGGGGGGAAAGACTACCTTACCATAAGAAGCATCTGAAAGTTCACGCGGCCCAGCATTGTTCTTGGCCTCCATTCCTTGATGATGTTCACCTTCACCATTATTTGCCAAACAGCATTGCGCTGAGAGGTTCAGCGGCGCGGAGTGGGACCCCAAGAAGGCGCAGAGATGCGCAGAGTGTGCTGTGAGGAATTGATAGGCACTCATCATCTGAGCCGCGGGCTTGCAGAATGCGGAAGTCAGCTATCGGGCACGGGCGTGTTCCAGTTTGTCAACTTTACATCCAAACACGCAGCAGGCGAAGACACATAAGCAGCCCGAATCAGCCCGAGGTTCTGGACGTGCCATTGCAAATAAGCACAAGAAGTGAAAGTGATTGGGCCTTGAGTGCTGACAGGAGTTTATAGCCTCAGCTGTGTTGCAGTTGCCCGGCTGATGGGGCTTGCAGTTGCTTGCAGGTGTCGTTTTCACATGCAGCTGACCAGGCAGAGTTACACGACAACGACGTCCGGTGGCTTTTCCAGACATACAACGGAGTGATCGACCCAGTTCCTTGGCACGAAAATGATGACAAGATTCGCTGGTGGAGCACCGATTCATTATGAAGTCAAGCCGCTGTCATGCGATGTTGAAAAAGTCTGGTTCGAAACCCCACACACGTAGAATTCCGGGAAGCCCTGACAAGCCCCGGCCCCTGAACTCGAAACCACGAAAGGACAGGAACGTCAAGGATGAGAGCTTCGTGAGCTGGATGCGGCCATCGGCCCTTCCTCGTGCTCCCCGGCATTTGAACGGTCGAAGTGGAGCAACGAAGGGTGAGTGTTGGATCCTGAGCCCAGTCCCCTCTGCCATCCAGCGCCTCAAATCCTGCAGCTTTTTGCGACGCGACAGTTCACGAGCCTGTGCTACGCACTGCTCACACACAGCCTGCCCCGAAAAGGTTTGGAACAAAGTGGGTTTCATCCACGAGGACTTGCCAGCGGGCAAGGACCCCTAGGGGATTTAGGGTTTAGGGTTTATAGAAATTGTATAGGGTTTGGGTCTCTCAGTTTTGACCGAAAGTTTTTTTTTTTGCTTTTCCAGGCTGCAGGCTGAGGGGCTGGAAACCTCGGGGGCTGGGAGGCTGCGGGAGCCTGGGGGCTGGGGGGCGGGGGGGGGGGGGGT